GCCCAGTCCTACTTTGCCTTTTGTTGCTGTGATAAAACACACTGAAAGCAACTTGGGGGAGAAAAGGGTTTATTTCATCTTACAACTCCCAAGTCCCAATCTATCACTGAGGGAAGTTAGATCAGGAACACAACCAGGGCAGGAACTGAAGCAGACATCACGGAGGAACACTGCTTACTGGCTTGCTACCTCTGGCTTGCTGGGCTACTTTTCTTATACAGTGTAGACCCACCTGCCCAGGGGTGGCATTGTTTATGGTGGGCTGGACCCTCTTTCTTCAACTAACAATTCAGAAAACGTTTCACAGACATGACCACAGGTCAATCTGATGCTAACAATTCCTCAGTTGAGATTCCTTCTTCCCATGTGAGTCTAGTTTGTGTCAAGTTGATAAAAATTAACGAGCACATCCACATAACCATTGTGAGGGCCCTGGTTTCTGAACTGGGCCTCCATGCATGCAGGCAACCTACCAGAGCTCTGGGGAAACTCATGTTCCAGGAGTCAAACACCAGTATCAGAGTGGATAAACTCTCCATTTCACTGGCAACAGTTTGGTGCATATGTTCCTGGGCTCGCAACCATGAGCAGGTTAAACCTCTAGTGCACTCAGTTGCACTCTCAGTCTCATATCTAAGAATACTGGATTCCTTAAGAACAGAAAACCAACCTGTGGGCTCAGATCTCCCACTGCTGGTGGTAAAGAAACCAGGGATACAGGTACTTGAGCAAGAAGCCTCTTTTTCTTCCTTTCATACCCTGGAACAGGCCTAAGTCTATTTTCCCATTTTCTCACTGTATAAGCCACCTTCACTTTATAATGAGTCTGGAGTTATTAAGAGAGAGAATGAATCCTTAGCTGTTGGAGCCAAATGAGAGTGTGGAACTGCTGCTTTAGTTAACTATAGAAAACTGCAGTTTGCTCCACAGAGCAGGGCGAGCGTGCCTTTGAATGCTTTCCCACTATGGTGATCATAATGAGTTTTCTTTGCAAAAAGATAAGACCTAGTTTTCAAAGTAAGGGAGAATTTAACATACTCCACCCCTCCAAGGCTGCTGCTAGTCAGATCCAGGGGAGCAAAAGAGCAAAATCAGAGCGGACTCAAAAAAAAAAAAAAAAGCGTCATCTTAAGATCTAAGTTTAGCTGTGGGTTAAATAAACCATAGACACAGGATTTTTTCACTTCTCTGCATTTCTTTCCATTGGATTCCTTCTTTGTGAAGCTCGCTCCCACATACCCTCATCTGACGGCCTCTGAGAGCCAGGGAGAGAACTGGAGGTGGCAGATGGCCACAAGCCTTGAACAGAGAGAAGGTGAAATGTGCCCACCCTCAGGAAAGCTGGGCTATCAGCAGGAACAAAGGGCTGTTCATGGCTCCCTTCACTATGCTATCAGATCTTGAAGAGAACAGATGGAAAATAAAGCTGTGTTGTCATTCAGATGTCCTTCAAAACATCATCCATGTTGCTGAGCACAGGGACCTAGATGACCCATGAAGTGAACTCCCACTGTAGCCAAGGCTAGATCCTGAGTCGATCCTGAGTTTGCACCATGTTCCCCTTACTTAGTGACTTTGAGATAGTTATTGACTAGTAATGAAGACAACATTAACCATATAGATAATAAAACCAAGTCTGGCAGAAAGCAAGCTGTTAGAGCAGAGTGTTCACACTAGCCTCTTTGGTACCCTATACCTGCACTGGCTCATCTTTGGGTCTGCTTCCCAGGCAGCCACACTGTAGAATCCAAGGATGAATGAGGGCCACTGCAGACATTTTCTGTCCTGCTTTGTTTTCAAAGAAAAAAGTTTGGAAAAATGGTATTTTTTTTTTTCACCAAAAAACCAATATACTATCTTCCTTCACCTAGCATTTATGGTTGATATTGTAAATACCAGAATAAGACCAAATCTTTTCTGGCATTGCTGCAGGAAAGATGAGGCAAGACACCAGGGAGTTCAGGAAGTGGGTTTTATTTAGGCTGCAGCCTGGTCCAGAGGACTTAAGTCTCAAAATCTGGACCCTGAAGAGAGAAGTTCTTACATTTTGTACCTTGAGCAGTGGGTTACAAACATAGGCAAAGTGCATACCAATTAGCTAACAGCAAAAGTTATGAAAAGCAAGCAGTTTGTCTAGTTTTTGAGGGAAAAAACAGAAGTATTAAAAAGCCCCTCCCTATCTGAGACAAATAGAAATGAGAAAGTTTGGAAGTAGCTAGTTATGTCAGTGTTTCAGTGTTTTAACCACAAACCATCAGAAGGCAGAGAGAGAGAGGATAGAGGAGGGAGGGGAGGGGAGTGGAAGAGAGAGGGGAGAGAGGAGGAGGGAGGGAGAGAGAGAGGGAGGGACAGAAAGAGAACTAAAATCTGTTTTCCTGATTTTTTTTCCCATCAGGCTGTACATCAGAGTATCTATGCAACTGGTATCAATCTGGAGTGAACTTCTTGCTTTTTGTCAACCCCCCCCCCCCCCCCACATAAAAACGACTAACCACTTACAACATCTAATAAGAACAAGCAAGAGGCGGTGGGTTCCCCCCCCCCCCCCCCCGGAATAGAAATGTCTTAAACCTTTAAAATTTAGATTCCGAAAAGGAAGGCTGGTGAGTTAGAACAGTTTCTACAAGGCAATCCCTTCCTCCAAGGCTTGTGGAATGGGTGACTGGGAATTGTTGTTGGTAAGTCTCCTAAGTTTTCCAGACCTTGGTTTATTCCTGAATCAGGGTGTTGCACTGACAGATTTCTAAGACCCAGAACAATGGAACTTGAAGAAAATTTTCTCTGTGGGGATTCTTGATCTCAGAACACTGCTCCATGTTCTCATTTACTTCAAGGGATGGAGGCTAGCTGTGAGGTTAAAGAAAGCCCACTTCCCTGTGGGACCTGATCAATGTTGCAGGGTGCAGATGCTGTCATCAGGGTCCTTGGAAGCACTTTTGGCTTCTAGATCCCACTGGACAGATATTCCTAAAATTGGGAGAAGTGTGCTATCCCCTCTCCTCTGAAGTATTTTCTGAGAATTGCAGCAGCCTTTTCCAACTTTCAGTGCTGCTGAAGGCTTTGGAAATGAACTCAATCCCAGGACAGGCAAATTGCAACAAGTTGGGAGGGTGTGCGTCACTTAAGTCTCCAAAGGTGATCAAATCCTTCTTGTTGGAGGACCTTGTAGTTGAGTCTATATGGGTGGGAATGAAGGGAAACCAATGGTGATGGAGACTGTCAGGCTAGTAACAGTATTCTTAGAGTATGCAGTCATCAGATATGGCCATGACACTGGCTGGGAGTGTGTGGGTTAAGAGGCGGAGACTGCTGTATGCTGCATGGCAGACCCTTATGTAGAGCCTTGTTACATTCAGCCTGCTGGTTTTGACAGAATATGGAAACCAACCAGGGACAGCCTCTTCAAGTTACCTAAAATATTCTTTATGACAAAAGATATATAAAATATCATCTCACTGACTCAGCCATTAAGAGCACTGGCTATTCTTGCAGAAGACCTGGGATCAAATTCCAGCACCCACATGGCCACTAACAACTGTCTGTAACTCCAGTTCCAGGGGATCCAACAGACTCTTCTGTCCTCAGGCATTGCACAACACAGGTGCATTTACCTACATACAAGCAATACACACATACACATAAAATAAAAATGATTAGGCTAAGTGTGGTGGTGCACGCCTTTAGTCCCAGCATTTGGGAGGCAGAGGAAGGCGGATCTCTGTGAGTTCAAGGCCAGCCTGGTCTACATAATGAGTTCCAGGCCAGCTGGGGCTACAGGGAGACTCTGTCTCAAAAATATTTTAAAAAAATTAAAAATTATCCTCTCACCTACTGTGACAGTTGGTAAATATCAACTTGCCACAAATTAGAATCACCTGGGTAGGGAGCCTCACCTGAAGAATGTTCTGATTGCCTTAATTGATACAGGAAGACCCACTTCAAATGTGGGCAGCACCTTCCAGAAGCAGCTTGGATAAAGACCCAGAAAAAGAAAGATTGTTGGCCTTTTGTTCATTTGGCCTTCCTGTAAGCGGGCTGACCACTGACTGTGCTGCTGCTCTCTCCTTTGCTGACATCAGGACCAGCACTTCTAGGCTTCCATATATATTATCAGTTCTGTTCCTCTAGAGAACCCTGACAAACACACACTGACCTAGACTAAACCCATTAATTACCAGCCATATTTCTTTGTGGCAGGGGTGGAAATGTCTGTGCCACAGGTTAGATGGAGGCCTCTGATGGCGATGGTTTCTATGTTCATATAGATGTTCCCCATCCTGTTACCTAGTCTGTTGCTGTGCCTTGGATTGAATGAGACACTCATGAAAGCCAAGTCCTGAGCACTGATACAGCCTTTGCCTGAGGCACATGATTGGGCAGTAGGAAGTCACTATGTAGACCAGGCTGGCCTTGAACTCACAGAGATCCACCTGCCTCTGCCTCCCAAGTGCTGGGATTAAAGGCATGTACCACCATGCCCCCCCCCCTTTTGTGGTTTTTACGGATGTGAATGTGTCAATTTCAATATGCTTATTTTGATAATTTTGGTAATCCATTACCAAATGGTGAATGCATCTCATGGGCAACACTTCACATATTCAACACTAGCAGGTAAGAAAAATTAGCATTTAAGTCTCTTCTATGTACCTGAAAGAGCTTCACACACACAACCTCACACAATACTCAACAACTTTGTGAGCTAAATAATGTAACACTTTCTATATGACAGATTTAGAGTTTGGGGAGGCCAGCTACTTGGCAAGACCACAAGAACTACTCTGAGCCTTGACCAAATGGCTGTCCCTCTTCTAGCCTCTGGCAGCTGGACCAGCCACTGGCCACTCTACATTCTCACACAACACATCACCTACTCCAATTTTCTGAACTATTATCAATTATCTTCTGCCTAGAAAAGGAAGTTAAAAAACGAAAACAGTCAACAGTAACAATACAGCATGTTAGCATTCGGCATAAGGAAGAAAGCTTAAAAGGCAGCGGGCTTGTCATTTATATTCACCTTTATTTCTGATTTGTTGGAAACACTGAGAGCAAAGAATCGCTACAAGTGCTGCTTCTGGGTTGGAGTGGTCCATCTTGCCAGGAGCAGGGCCATGGGTAGGTGTGCTCATTCCCAGTGCTGTGCTGCGCTGAGGGCTGTGCTGAAAGTTCTCAAGGCTTGGTGCGTCCCCCGCACAGCCAGGAGGAGTGACCCAGCTTCGGCTTCATGGCCCGCTTCCTGTAGGTGTCTGGCTAGTTCCTCTGCATCCCAGCGTCCTTGCTGGTTGCTGGCTACAAGGTGACCAATGATGTGTGGATAGAAGGGGGTGGAGACACACTTCACCAGCAGCCTGGCATCCAGGAGCAGAGAAAGTAGCTCCTGGTCACAATTGGAGTCATTCACCTTCAAGAAATAAGACAGGTAAACATGGATGAGCACTTGCGTCCTTCTCTATCCTGCCTCCCTGTGCTCTCACTGGGTTGTCACACATATCCTGCTTGGTTTAAGAGGATTGCTCCAAACAGTGCAAAGAGGAAGTGACGAGCATCTTGGAGGTCAGAGATGGGATGACAGACAAGGCTTCCTTTCAGCATAAGGAGACAATGTACCCAGACCCCTACCTGAACCATTATTGCACGCTCCAGCGATCATAAACCGAGTACCAAAGTCTGGCTCAGACTGCAGGTGCATTACTTCACAGAGCCCCTTCGGATTCAGCCTGTGACACTGGCACTTTCACTTCTTGGCTTTACACATAAGGATATTACAGTACAAGAACTTTGCTTAACATTGGAGTAAGTCATGGAGCCCAAATCGGAATTTAGGTCAGTCTTCACTTCAAAGTCTGAGCTCTTAAGAATCACATTTACCATTTCATTTGCCTTTTCATCGTGGTCTGCATTCTTTAACCCCAAATTCTCTGTTGAATGCAGATCCACATGAAAAAATCTTTTCAGAATAAGGAAACTTTTTTTTTCTGCTCTGCTGAGAAAAGAGTATGTCCTGCAGCCCACAGACATAAAGAGGATGACCGGCAGTGGGTTTACATTGTTCTCCGAGGCCTGCCTGGAGGAAGCTCAGCACCAGAGCTGCCTTTGTGAAGCACGTTCACAATCTGGCTTGCATGGCCTCTGTACAACCCTTCTCCCTGCTCTTAAGTCTACACATGTTTTTTCACAGCTTTGCCGCTTCGTTTATATTTTTTCTGTTTTTTTGGTATTATATTTTTGTGAGGGTTCATACAGGATCTATGAGGGAACAAGGATGGTTACCAGAAATCCTAACTGCCATCAGCACCACCAAATAGCTGTGGTAGTCCTTGTTCATGTCACTGAAGTTAGCAACTGTGCCTGTAGGTACCTCAAAAATGATGTGGCATTTCAAAGACAACTAATTAATTAATGGTTAGACCAACTATACTACAAAACTCTACACAGTGGCTCTTCCTGCCTGTTCTTGACAGGAAGGAGAGGGTACTGAAGATTCAAAGATTGTCTGCTGCTCAAAGACTTAATAAAAGTTACTGCCTCCATCGATAGCGTGTCAGCATTATTCACAATCCAACCTCCTCGGCCATCTTTTCTAAAGCTCTATTGGCCAGGCCACTGCTCCTTCCCTCGGGCTCCCTCACGCCTGACATACACCTCTTCACTCTGTTATGGTGACTTGTCTGCCTCCGCTACGGATGGTAGGGGCATGCAAGTTACAGGGACTTTATGGTTTTTCTTTTTCACTATCTAGTTCAGCTGATGTTAGTTAAATGGTCAAATGAACTGACCTCACTGAACTTTGCCACAGTTTTATAATTTGTACAAGTATGTGATAAAGACATTGTCATCTTGGTAGCGGACTGACCCCCAGAGAGCTGCATGTTGAGACCAAGGTGTCTCCATGTTCTTAGTGTTCTCTGGTCTCTCATTTCAGCAACTTTTATTTATTTTGAAGCAGGGTCTCACTGTAGCTCAGAGTGGCCTAAAACTGGAACATCAGCAACCTTGTCTCAGTTTCCTATGTGCTAGGACCACAGGTACAAGCGACAATGACAGGCTTTCATTTTACAAATTCTTAAATGTACAACTCACACATGCCTGACCCAGAAAAATACTTAGTTGGTCTCCACAGGGCTTTAGGTTTTGTTTTCTTTTGGCGAGGCTATATAGCATGAAAGGCAACTGGTATAAGAGACTGGATCTCTGCTCACACCCTGAATGGTGCATGTGCCCACGAGTCTGCCTGGCTTCTCTACCATATTCTCCCCTTCTCACACTTGTCAAGCATAAACCTTAATCCCATGGAGCTGCTTCCTCATCGTCACATAGCAACCCCCAAAGGCACATTCTTTCTCAGCTTCCACACACCCCTTTATGGCAGTTCTAAACTCAATTGATGAAGATTATATGGGCGCTCCATGGTGGAGGTAGACTAGCAGCTTATCTTTGATTAGTTTATACTCTGTCACCTTCTAGAACACTGGCTCCTCCAGGGCAGAGATCTCATATCTTTTGTTCACCCCTGCATCCCCCAAGCTCAGAATGGCTGGTCACATGGCACCAGCACCCCAAGATTTGTGTACTGTGTGGATGACTTACTTCACAGGTTATACTGCTTCACTCTGCACTGTTATCTGTGTGTACAGATGCACACAGGGTCTCTGAATTACTTATTCTGCATGTTATTATTCTGTTTTACCCTTAAGAATAAAGACTCCTTTCTACCTCAGCCTCCAGGAAAGCACTCTGTTAGCAAGAAGCTATAGGCAAATGTACTCCATAAAGTACCTCATAAAAAGTAAAGTCCAGACACTGTGGGGTATTTCTTTCTGTGTTGCCCTGAATAAGTTTTCAAGGCTGGTGTCTTTGTTCCTTTTGATTTACTCACAAACCTCTCTTTGGGGGAGGGAAAGAGGGAGGAAAATAGCTCCAGCTGGAGGAAGAGACAGCCCTTTCAGTCAACGCAGGTTCCTCTTAATACTTGCTCAGGCCTGACCCAAACCTTCACATTTGCTTCTGGTAGGAAGGGCCCAGCTTTCCTGGACCCTACCTGGCAAGGGGTGGGAGGAGCAGCCCAGGCCACTTGCTGTCTGAACGCTCCCAGGGAAAGCCAAAGGCCAAGGTTGTAGAACTAATGCAGTGTTTTTCGCTTAAGAGATCCCCAGGAAAAGGCAGAGTCAAGATTCTGGGTCGCACTGGGGTTTTGGGGAAAATTCTGTCTTACTCTTTACAATCAAGTGCTAGGAAAAAGGAATTGGCTCTCTTTAGTTCATTTCCTTCTCTTTCTGCCTGGGTCTGGCTCTTTGTAAGAAGTAGAGAAAGGCTTCATAACTGCTATTTGGAAAGAAAATGCTGTAGGGACTGTACATCTAGGACAAAATGAAGGATGAAACATAAACAAAAGCTGGGTGTGGTGGTTCATGTCTGCAATCCCAGAAGTCCTAGGCCTGGGCCACTGGGTACGTTCAAG